TTCTAATTGTAGACGTCTGTCTAGGAAAGGCGTTCCACTTTTTTCTCATTCATATTTAGGCTTTTTGCAAGAAGTATGATATTAATCACAAGCACTTCAAAACCCCAAAGGTTTTTTATTCTAAGAACAGCTTCCTTGTGACAGTAGTCAAATAGTATATAATGAGCAAGTTTTCACTTCATCTCCACCAAACGCTTGACTTTATTGCCTTCTAAAAATGGATAAATTCTTCAGTGTAAATGGATTCACTTTTTCTACAATGACAAGCTTCTCACTAACCCTCCTGGCTTCACTGTTTCCAGTGCTATGCATTTTCTTCAACGCAGTTTTATTGACAGTTGCCAGGATGAACCGAAATTGCAGTGAGTTGATATTTGAAATGAAAATATCCAACTTTTTTGTCTTCAGATACTTTCCCATTAGCCTATGTCGTGGTAATGGGGATCAATGGTATCATCATATCGATTTTTGTATGGTTCCATTGTGTCACTTTCTTGGTGCTCTCAGAGTCTTATTACAGTGGTAAGTGAGACTCTGACGCATTTTAGACTATCCACCGTAATTATTTTTTAGCTTATCTTGTCTGGTTCGGGAAGGAAACCACACTCTTCGCCACTCTTTCCTACCTCAACTACCTGTTGGTTTGCGTTTTGATGACAGTCAACCGCATCTTTGCCGTCGCTTTCCCATTCCGAGACATCTTCACCAACTTCCGTATCTACATTCTCAGTGTGCTCATTTGCATTGTGACATTCGTGTCATTGGCCATCCCATACTTCAGCCCATGCTACATTGTGTTCAACACCAGGAAACTCTCCTTCGTGTCAGGTTGTGCTCCAGATCGTCATCCGGTCAGTGATATTTGTGGTCGGGGGCTCCGACTAAGTGTAAAAGACCAGAATAGCAACAATCGGTATTTAGTATCAGAATAATACAAATCCTCAAAAACTCCATAGTTATTTTTTCTTTTTTTTGTGAAATTGGATACAAATCTTATAGTGTAAGATCAGAACACATTGGGCTTTTGGGAAGAATGTGTGTTGAGATTGGTTATCATTATTGGGGAAAAAGGGAAAAGTTGAATGATTTTTGAAATATGAAAAAAGAAATGGGCCGAACCGGGGATTGAACCCGGGACCTCTCGCACCCAAAGCGAGAATCATACCACTAGACCATTCGGCCACATTTGGAATCGAAAAGCTTTCTGGGCGAAACATCAGCGGCAATTTGAGTGTTTTCTCCGCAAAATGTCAGGATAACAGACAAACATTGAACTTCACGACCGGTTTCTGTCGAGGAGGAAATGATGTTTCAAATTCGAAAGAAATTTGAAAGCTTCCTTGTGGCCGAATGGTCTAGTGGTATGATTCTCGCTTTGGGTGCGAGAGGTCCCGGGTTCAATCCCCGGTTCGGCCCATTCCCTTTTTGCATTTCTTGTCTTGATTTCTAAAACTAGTATCCGTTTTGAAAAACTGAAAAAAATAATGTGTTCCAAACGAAAGACCAGAATAGCAAAAATGTTAATTGATATCAGAATGATACAAACGTTTGAATTCTCCGTATATTATTATTCCAGATTTTTTCCAAAAAGTTTTTAAAAATGTTTTATAGTGTAAGATTAGAACACATTCGGTTTTTGAAATAGATGTGTAATAAGTTTAGTTATTGATCCAACTTTTTTAGAATCATCTCACTTCAGTTTAGGCTGAAAACAGTCAGGAAATGTGAATATTTTTTAATTTGAGCAACCACTGTTAATTTATATGGAGCGT